TACCTGCTTCATTCTTTCCTTCGCACAAAGAAGTCAGGAAATGTTTAGCTAATTCTGAAGCAGGAAACTGTGGTTAATAGCTTCTGAAAAAGCAATGGTATTAATTAAGCCAATTTAAAACATGTTTTCATATCTGGGCTTTTAAGGAAACTATTGTTTCCTGTTGCAATAGAACTACAGAACTGTGATTAACTGAATCCTTCCTGTCTTATTTTCCAGATTGTATAAGGGAAGGAACAAGATGACTGTACGTGAGAATCAGCTAACGGAGCCAAGATATGATGGAAACATAGTCAGAGACTGCAACATCAAGTGTGATAGAATAATGGCTTGCACACATGGATGAGCTATCATAGGCAGGCAGAACTTTGAAATTACCTCACAAAACTTAAATACAATGCTTTGCCCAAGAAGTCAGTTCACACATTCAGCCACAGTCATTTGTTGAGAAATCAAGTGATATGCGTGCCAAGTGTGAATAAGTCCTTAGAAGCTATTCGGTATTTCTGATTGAAGCTCCAGTTACCAGAATAATGGATTTACCCACAGTTAAGGCTGTGCAGGAGGCATAAGCTACAAAGTGTAAGCCAAAGTTACTGCAAATGCAAGCTTTGGCAATTACAGGGCTTTTCTCATTTTCAGTTAATTAAGTTTTAGAAAATAAAAGGACTAAATGACCAAAGAACATCTGTTTCTATGGACCTTTATTAACCCCAATATGCAGTGCTATCTATTGGGTTTGGCAATTATGAAACCTAATAAAATTTACAGGAGAGGGGATGTTTTTCACTTCATTCAATTGCACCTCACTAAGTATATTAAAGACAAGCAAAGCATTGCAGTTGACTAGCCCATTGATTATAAAGCACAACACCCATAGGCTATATATGTCAAAAGAAGAAATGTCTTATCTCACTTTAAGGAAACACACCAAAAAAATTCAGTACAGCATTTCCCAACTGATGATACATATTCAGCCCAACAACTGTAAATGTGCCATTTCAATGCTCCCTGTAAAAGGACTGTGGCACAGCTCAGAGGCAGCAGCAGCCCACAGTTCATCCAATATATATGGATGAACTGAAGTGAGTCTCACAAACTCATTCCCTCTCCCTTTTTCAGTTCTTTCACAGTCACAAGGAGGAGATTGGAAGCTTCTGCTTTAACAAACAACAACAAATCAGTTTCCGATGATATCCAAGCACAAGGAACTGTGATTTAGTTAAACTATGGTTAGTAAGAACATTATAAACATCGTGACCGAACCTGGTCGATATCCATAGCTACTGCTCATGATGGCTGCATGCTACCTACCTCCAGGATCAAAGGCAACCTGCCTCTGCATACCATTTGTTGGGAGACACAAGTGGTAAGGGAACGGCTGCATTCCTCTCCTGCTTGTGGGCTTCCCACAGATATCTGGTGAACCACCATGAGAACATGAAGCTGGAGGAGATGCCCTTGTGGCCTGATCCAGCAGGGCTTTTCCTATGTTCTTAGAATTCTCCATGAACTCAGCTGCAGTGTTGTGCCTGCCAATATGCAGCCAAATGGTTAAGCCTCTGGCAAAGCCTCCCTTGCTATTCACATGGGATAGGCATATTTAAGAGCCCTTGCCTGTATACCAAGTTGTACACAAGAGGCAAGGGCAATAGATGCAGCAACAACACCCTCCCAGAAAGTGTAAGTATGTGGATAATACAAGTGTTACCAATATCTGCTCTCTGTAGAAGTGATTGACAAAACCTGGGAAGACTCAGGGATGATTGTGCACCTGCTGTTCTACAGTGGTGGTGTCAAGAGTCCCTGCCCTCTATCATCTATTTCATCATCCATACAAATTTCTCTATCTTCATCTTGTTTGCCAAAATTGTTAGTTGTGGTGCCAAATGTCTTCTGATTTCGAATAAGATGCAGCTAGCAAAAATATCCCCAACAGTATTATTCAATGACTTCATTCACCGCACAAGGCTGAAAGCAACCAATCGGTGTGAATATGCAAATGGGCCACTGTGCCCCGCCAGCTGCTTTCACTAAGCCTCACCTGTTAGCACAATCCTAAGCATAATGATCCAACACTAACTCCAATGAGTTCAGAGGGGTTTGCGCCTAGGAAACAAACTGTATCTCCTTATTCTAACATGAAAAGAAAAGTATTATGTAATTTAGCTCTATTTTGACACCAGTCAATATATCATTTCAATCAATATATTACATTACCTTTGTATCCCTGTTGCGGTTATGACCTTGGAAACACGTCCATATCTCCCCACAGATATATTGTTGTAAACAAGCCATTGCTGCAAGCAAGCCACACCTAATAATTTTACTGGTACATCCGCTCATCACCACCCCAAATATTGGGGGGTCCTGTTCTCCGCCCCACTAAGGTCACTTGCAGCCATACCTTTGACATTCTTCATTACCATAATTTGCAGGGAAGCTCTCACCTCTAGCCTTTCTAAGTATCACTTTTTATTACCCACTATTTACAGAATGGCAGGCGGCCAATAAAGCTCTCATGGGAATTCTGCATCCTTACATAGTTTGCAAAGAATCTTCCTTTGTCTTTGAACAGCACAATTCAATGTCAAATCTCTTAAATTTTTCAACTTACAATTTATTATATCAAACCTTCTTTAGTGTGTAAACCGACATAAAAGACCCACTCAAGATTCCTTTAAAGGCGTTAAGGGCACACAGCCTGATTTTAGAGTCAGTTTTGAAGATATTTCAATATGTCCTCATTGACACAAAAGGAGCTATTACATTTGCACTTTCACTGAAGTTAATCTATGAAACGTTTGATGTGCTTCTCTCTTAGTTTCATAGGGCAAATAGTTACGCTTTGTTATATTTAACTGGAGGACTTCAGACAAACCTAAAAAAAAAATGACTTGCAGATTCTGCAGTGAGGAAGGAGAGGGAAATAGAATTAAGGTGGAAAGGCAGGAGCACACCCCTTTGAGTGTGCACACCCTGACAGCTGGGAATGGCTTTCTCACCAAAAATGTTTTATCACATAGCTCAATAAAGTTCCACACTAGGCACAAAATGCATGTGTGTGACTGAGCACTTTACCCAGCCTTTCAAAGTATTTCAGAAAATGCCTGATCACAATATTGCTCAAATTAAAGGCATTTTCGCTATGTGGTAGATAGGGCAGGCAAGGCACTAGCAACTAGGGACTGCCAACCTTTTTGAGCCCAGGAATATATGCAAACCAGTGAGACTGTTGTGAGCACCACACACACAAACCGCAGCCAAGCACACACTACGACCCATTCCACTGGCTACAACCAAATGCTTATTTCAAGCCGACCTTCAGGGTGGGGGTGAATATGATGCTGATTTATACCCCACCCATCTGGATTTATACCTCACCTACTCTGGGTGGCTCCCAACAGAATTAAAAACATGATAAACACCAATCCTTAAAAACTTCCCTAAGCAGGGCTGCCTTCAGATGTCTTCTAAAAGTCAGATAGTTGTTTATTTCCTTGACATCTGATGGGAGGGTGTTCCATAGGGCAGGCGCCACCGCCGAGAAGGCCCTCTGCCTGGTTCCCTGCAACCTCACTTCTCGCAGTGAGAGAACCGCCAGAAGGCCTTCAGAGCTAGACCTCAGTGTCCGGGCTGAACGATGGAGGTGGAGACGCTCCTTCAGGTATACTGGGCCGAGGCTTTAAAGATCAGCACCAACACTTTGAACTGTGCTCGAAAACGTACCGGGAGCCAATGTAGGTCTTTCAGGACCATTGTTATGTGGTCTCCTCGGTGAGGAGAGGGGACAAAGGAACCTTGTAGGTGCCATGGAAGGCCCCTGCAAGACCATGTGTGCTCGTGGCCGCTATGTTGGCAATCCCAGTAGAAGTATTCAGAAGCACAAAGGACATATTTAAACTCAAGAGTGTTGCTGTGTATCTGGGCTGCTATTAAGAGGGCTACAATTCCCAAAGCTGACACATAATAAATTATTGTCTAGTGCATGAATTTAATAAGAAGGTATGCTATCCATGTTCTGAATATTCAGCTGGAAATGTCTACAATTAGAGCTTCATTTCATCTGCTGCAGAAATAACTTTCCATATTATTAAAGTTGCTCCCGTGCTAAGAGAAGCAAAGGCTGAAGAATTCCACAGCATTATGACCGTATTATTACAAGGCCAGTCCAGGACTCAGTGACAAGGCTGTTTACCCTTTAGCCCATTGCCAGATCTTAATTCCAAACTAATTCTATCCGGCCTTGCACTTGCCATAATCATGCACATTAGGCAAGAGAATGAAGACATACAAATTGAACATAGTTGTGTTGGGGGCTGGAACGTGGGCCTAGGGAGAAGGTTAAGAAACAGAAAGCCCAGGGGCAAGGTAGCTGAAGGAGAGGGGGCAGAGCAGGAGTAGACAGAAAAGGTATGGACCAGAGTGGAGACAGGTAGAATGTGCAGAGCCCCTGGGTAGGAAAATGTGCCAAAGAGGCATGGGTTAAAAAGGAGGGACCAGATAGGAAGAAAACCTATTATTTCCATTTGTTTGCTGTGTTTGCATATAAAGTGGGGAGTGTAGGGTGTAACTGCAACCCCCAAACCCAAATTTGTTGTTCCAGGCACTTTTCTCCATTCTTGACTAACTTCTCGCCATATTTGTGCTATGACTTTCAGTTCCATTAAGTGCCAATATTCACTGAATTATCTAACTCCAGGTGAGAATCTAAGTTGGGCAACACCTTAAGTAATACTTTAAGGCCTATTTCAGCAAAGTAAAGACCTAGAGTGTTAGCTGATATAGTGGTGTTTTGTTTTGTTTTGAATAAGCTTACTGTTGTAGAATTGACTCCAGTACTATTTTAACACACCCTGGTATCTAAACTGCAATGAAGAGTAGCTAAAAATATTCTAAATAAACATGCAATCAGATGGCTCTGTCACATCTAACCTAGCCCCAATTTTCACTCAAGACACTAATAATAACAACAAAAGGCAGTTTTCTAGAAACCTTACTTGTTTCCAATTATTGGCTCTCCAGAAGCGCTCAGTGCTGAGTAGTCCATGCCATAAAAATTCAGTCCCAGAAGAATTTTACTTCTCCACTTGGCTTCTGGATCCAGCATTTGAACACACGCCCGCATCCAAGGTAAAGGGGAATTAGGGCCAGGCCTGGAGATCAGCAGCAAAGAAATAAAATATGATGTCAAGGGACAGGTTTCAAAAAGAAGCAAAAGCATCTTAAACCAAACCTTTGCTCTAAGGAGATCCATAATCCCCAAAACAAACTGTATTGCTTGCTAGGAGAAAGGAACATAGAAGTTGTCTTATAGTGAGTCAGGCCCATTGGTCCATCAAGCTCAGCATTGCCTACACTGACTGGTAGCAAGTATTCAGGGTTTCAGTCTAGAGACATTTGCAGACCCACCGAGAGATGTCAGGGATTGGTCACCGGTATTTCCTTGGATACTGAATGGATATTTCTAACACTCCCGTCTTGGAGAGACAAACTGTAAGGGAAAGGGAAAGGTACCCCTGACCGTCAGGGCCAGTTGCGGACAACTCTGGGGATGCACGCTCATAGGCCAAGGGAGCTGGTGTTTGTCTGCAGACAGCTTCCAGGTCATGTGGCCAGCATGACTAAGCCACTTCTGGCAAACCAGAGCAGCTCATGGAAACACTTTTTACCTTCCCACCAGAGCGGTACCTATTTATCTACTTGCACTTTGACGTGCTTTCAAACTGCTAGGTGGGCAGGAGCTGGGACAGAACAATGGGAGTTTCTCCCATCGCGGGGATTCGAACCGCCAACCTTCTGATCAGCAGCAAGCCATTACATGCTATTTCAGCAAACATTACTTAATTAACTTTTGCACTTGTTTCCATTGCTGTTATTTCATGTTTGATTACATTTTATATGGTTTTCTTATATTGTTTTTATCTTGTAAGCCACCTTGATTGGGCATTTTGCCTAGGAAAGTAGGATATGGATGTTAGCATAAACAAGTATATAGAACCACTCAGAAGCAATGTTTATAAAAGAACCCAGAAAATTATACAGTCTTGTATCTCTAAAAATGCATGCTGTATTTCTGTACATACCAGCAACCTTGTACCTGGCATTGCTCAGGTAAAGGGACCCCTGACCATTAGGTCCAGTCATGGCCGACTCTGAGGTTGCGGTGCTCATCTCGCTTTATTTGCTGAGGGAGCCGGGGTACAGCTTCTGGGTCACGTGGCCAGCATGACTAAGCTGCTTTGGCGAACCAGAGCAGCAAACGGAAACACCGTTTACCATCCCGCCGGAGCAGTACCTATTTATCTACTTGCACTTTGACATGCTTTCGAACTGTTAGGTTGGCAGGAACAGGGACCGAGGAACGGGAGCTCATCCCGTAGCGCGATTCGAACCGCCGACCTTCTGATCAGCAAGTCCTTGGCTCTGTGGTTTAACCCACAGCGCCACCCGCATCCCTCAGGAAGTGTAAGAACCCCCCAAAATCAGTGCCCTTTTGAAATCATTAGTTAAAATCAGTGCAGTTTTGAAAGGGTCAGTCTGTCGTTTCAATTAAAAATTGCATTTAATTGTATCTGAACATAGACAAAAAACTTGATCCCAGGCACTATCATGCAAAATTTTGTTACAGTATCTCAACACGAGTCCAAATGCATAGCAAACAGCTTTCTAAAATATATAGATGTACACAAAAGTAGGTCCAGCATTCTTCACACATACGGTTTTTCTATGTTCCAAACATGTCATTTTATATTTGTATTTTCAAGTACGCTTCAACCAATTCAAGTAAAGTGTTGCTATTGTTTTTTTAAGAAAGGATCCTTGCATCCTTGACAGTTTGCCTTCTGTTGTAACATTTTCCTTGCCTCTTTTCAATATGCCTATCGTTGGCGGAAGGCATCTGAAATTTTAAAAGTCCTAAAGGAAAAAAGCAGTACATTCTATGTAATATGGAATTCTGTTTGTACATTTCTTGGACAAGCCACTGGATGATTTCCCTTATCTTGTGTGCGCACTTCAAACTGACAGTCGAGATAACTAGATACAAATCCTTAAGACACCATTTGATAAAGTGGGAAGAAAATATAAGGGTGTATAGAGAGCAACTGTCAGAACTGTTTCAAAGCAAAGAGGGAGAAAACGTAAAATGCAAGATTCCTTTTTTAGTTCTTCGTCCTCAGAAGCCATATTGGACAGGGATTTTAGAGGCTTATTTGCCAATCCAAAAACAGATATAAGAAAAGCTAATACAGACAAGCCAAAAAGAATGGTAGCCAATGGATGATATCCACCTAGCCAGACATTGCCAAACTTGGCCCTGTTTTGGAACTACAACTCCCATCATCCCTAGCTAACAGGACCAGTGGTCAGGGATGATGGGAATTGTAGTCCCAAAACAGTTGGAGGGCCAAGTTTGGCAATGCCTGAACCATACTCATACTAGACTAACTGAAATTAACGGACAAGATACCTGTCCATTGATTTCAATGGGTCTACTCTTGAGTAAGGCCAATGGTAGGTATTGCCCAATATATTTACTATGCAGTCTCAAATGAAATGCTAAGGTGGGGAGAAGTATACCATAAAGAAAGATAATAATGAAGTAAAAAAATAAATAAAGCCTGGAATCTGCCCACTCCTCTTCTAAAGGGTACTGATTAATTAGGATTTCTGTGAGCTCCAGGTATGTTTCCTGATGTCACTACTACATCCCTAAAAGCCAGTTCAGTGTACTATTGTTTTCCACTGTCATTGCCTTACCGTTGAGGCGCTGAATAATCGTATGTCATGAGGCTGAAGCTGTCCACTATTGGGGCTAGCTGATCAAATTCTTTCTTTGTGAAACTTCCCAGCTGGTTGGTTCTTTAAGAGAGAGAGAGAGAGAGAGAGAGAGAGAGAGAGAGAGAGAGAGATGTTTATTTATATAAGGTCATCAGCATGCCTGGTGCAAGTTTACAGAGTACAAGAGGACCAGTCCCTGCCCTGAGGAGCATACATTCTTTACATTTGACACAGGGGAATCAACAGAAGTAGGGTAAGCTCGGAACAAAGATGCAGTAGTTTCAGTTGCATAAGGACATAGTCAGAGACTGGGTTGGATCAAACCAAAGGCTCCTAGTCCAGCATTCTGTTCTCACAGTGCCCACCAGATGCCTATGGGAAGTCCACAAGCATGGGAAGTCCAATAGTATTGTCCCTTATTTACGGGCTCAGTAACAGTACAACATGGTAACTAGCAGGTTGCCAAACGTTTCACAGAAAATATGGGCTTTGAGGAGGAATTTGAAGGAAGTTTATCTCCCCCCATTTGTTCTTCACATGGGCTTTGAGGAACTCTGGAAATGGCTTTGCCCCTGGCCCTGAGAATTCCACCACCCCACCCCACCCTGCATCCACTTAGGCCTACACCCAACTGAAGTTAACTGGGACATCTGTAACTCTTCTTTGGTTATGAACCAAGCTTCTAAATGTCTTGGCCAGGAAGGGTTAGAGTATTTTATGGGGAAAGCGGGAACTAGAGATAATGTGCTCAAGTTCCAGAGCAACATATATTATTGGGCTTCTTGTCTGAAAATCCTGACCTTGGGTGGATGGGGAAATAGAAGAAAGAAGATCAGACGACTTTGCTTCTGCACTTGGAAGTACTTTACATCCTGGTTCTAAATATTTGCACCCCTATATCCAACTGTGATGGAATCACAATTCCCTTGCAGTAGTTAAAATATCATGCTAGTACCATTGAACTAGTCTCAGCTACAGCACTTTGTTGGTGATTGCAGCCTTAAAATGAGGGCACTGGTTAATGTTTTGGTTACCTCTGGACTAAGTTTATATTTAAATGGAAATGAATCCCAACCTTTCCCAAAGGCTCAGGACGAATCAACATTTTGAGACGTCAGACTATGATAATGTAATAAATAATACGCTCTTCTAAACATCACAGTGCTAAAGGCACAAACCATAATGCTGAAACCCCAAACCCTCAATGCAAAGCATGGGAAATCTGTCCAGTGCCAGGAAAAACCCACACTGATGTGGTCCAATCAGACACTTGCATTCTGCCTTCCCCACCCAGGCGAACATAACCCATAAGACTTGTACTTTTGCCACTGCCACTTTTTTGGCTTGCTCCCGAAAAACTGTGTCGCACTGCAGCCTCGAGATGGAACTAGATGTAATGCTACTCACACAAGTATTTATTTGTTTATTTGGTTCCAGTAATGAAATGCCTCCCATAAAAGATCTTGAAGAGGTTTCACAGCGAAGACAAAAAAAATAATCAAAACTATTCCATATGTACACAAACAAATTCAAATCCAATACAGAAACAGGGTAGGATAAAAGGTTTGTTGAAAGAAAAAATGTATTTACTAGGTGCCAAAAAGACAACAGAAGCAATGCCTGTCAAATCTGTAATGGGAGGGAATTCCAAAGAGGAGGTGCCACAATGCTAAAGGTCCAATTCTTTACATTTGTGCAGATGGTATCTGCAGGAGACTTCTTTGGCTGATTGCAGTGATGGATATAAGGGTTGAGATAATATTTTAGGTATCCCTTAGCTCAGCAGCAAATTGGCAGTCAGTGTAACTACAGTCACAACAGTGTGAATGGCATTTTCACCGCAGAGAAATAGCAGGCAGGGGCCACTCCATGCTTCCTGTTTGCACTGGGAGGGAAGTTTCCATTTATGTTAAAAGAAGTTTTCTTTACAATGCAAACAGCAGGTGGGGAGGGGGAGGAATAAGAGCCACACTGGAACGCCAGCCTTGGGCAAAAATTCAAAGCCCCTTTACCCAACCCCAGCCAGGGTCCGATCTGGATCTTGTACCCCCCCCCCCAGTTCGGTCTCTAGGCAAACATGCACATACACACACCGAGTAGAAATGCAGCACTGTTATGCATTACCCGGTACAGCCTTCAGCCTCCAGATTGCTGCTGCACAGCCAGGTGCAAGGCTTCACTGCCAGACTATTTATTCCAAGGCAGGCCCTTCTATAAGTAGACACAAAAGTCTGCCACTTATGGCTCAGTGTGGCTGTACTCCAGAAACAGCCCGTGGAGACAGGGAGGGCGAGAGATGAACTTGTGGATGCTTACAGGGAAGGCACTGAAGAACCTGTCCTGGTTAAATGGCTTGACCATGTGGGGCATCCAATATTTCACCCTTCGTCTCTATGGAAAGCATGACTAAAAGGACAACCTGTTTGAGCATATTCACATGCAAAAAAAGTTCTGTTAATTTCAGTGAAACCCACTTTTGAAGTATCTACACTGTCAGTATATTTCTAATACGCAAAAATGCTATGTTCCTTGAAACTCAGCTTCTTTAAAAAAACGAAATTACCCAAGTGCATTCACAATACATTCAGAACACAATAGAAGCTAACAGACCAGAGCAGAAGCAGAGCATCGGTTTTTCTACTGAATATAGAAACAGTCAGAAACTGACATTAAATTAATAGAAAACAAGCACATTACCAGTCTTCTGTTTACATACACGCATTTGAATGTTTTGCCTTGTTCAATTAAAGGGTTCCAACACGGAAACCTCAGGCCTAAGCTGCTATTAAAATAAAATCTAACCCTTTGGAATCATTTAATTCTTACACAATTCTTCTTCACAGCCAGTCTCCAGAGGTGTTAATTTAGTCATGAAGCATCATTAAAAACAAACAAACCAGGACAAGTGATTAACAACTGCATTTCTGAGCACACTTTCCTCAGTGGAAGCACCACCACTGAAAACAATGAGAATGTATCCTGAATAAACATGCATAGAATTACAGGGCGCATCTATCATTATTATTGCGTAACAGGCCATGTGAGATACGAGACAGGCAGATTACAACTGCTACAACCAGCAACTGCTTACAGAATGTCAAAATTGGATTATTAATGATAATATTTAATTACAGACGGCTGGCACCTTTCCCTACTAATTGTAAAAGGCAATATAGGAAGCCTCATGCACATACATCTGTACCCACATAGGCCCTCTTCAGAATGAAGCCAAACACATAGTAGCAGGGGTGCATGTTTGGGAGATGCAGATGTGCTTAGGGGCAGGGCCAACCGTATGCATTCTCACTACCCCCCTTGTGCATTCAGTACCCATTGGTACCATATGCCTGAATAAGTCTAGTCAGTCTCCTCCTTCTGTGCAATCTGCAGACTGTATTTAAGTTTAGTTCAGGTCAGCTCCTTCTAACAGGTATCTGAAGTCAAATGTTAAATAGTGAAAACCATAGAAGAGGATCATTACAAGATAACCAGTCAACCAACAAAAACCATGGTTGTGGAGCTAAAGATTTCTTAAACATTATGAAGTACTTTTCTTCTGTATAAATATTTTTAAATGGCACAAGAAAGGTATTTGAACACGGAGATTGCAATCCATGATAGTAATTCTGGGTACATACCTATATGGTGCCTAAATGCTTTAACCCATGGAGCAAACAGCAGCAGCTGGGAAAGGAAAATTTGGGGAAACAGCAAGCATGGAATGGTTAACTTCCTCTTCCCACAGCACAACCTTGATCCAATCTTCAGCCTCTCAATTGGCATTCTGATTTTTAAACATACATGTCCCATGGCACATCTACTTTGGCAATAATAGGCAATACTTTGACTAATAGTAGGAAAGCTACAATATAAGCACTTGGAACTGGATTCAACTTACCCATTCTGCTAGTGGAAGCCAGTGTAAGGACTCCTGCTAGCACAATGGAGCTTCCCCCCCCCCCATTGGGTTGGGAGAACCCCCAAAACAACTCATGGGGGGGGAGAAAAGGGTGCCATTCAATTGGGCGAGCAGAAATATCATCATTAATATTCCAATTGTGACATTCAAAAGATTGTGCTGACGGATCAATCTCGTAAGTGCTACACTGAACGATCTTTAATTACAGAAGTTGCAGTAAGAAAGAAGAAGCACTTTTGCATGAAAAGTTGGGGACGAGAATACAAGCCACTTTAAAACTAAGTGTTCCCATTTCATGGGGTCATAAACTGTACTATGATGTAGTAATCAGCCCCAAAATAAATTCAGAGAAACAAATATCTTAGCCAGTGATAGGAAAAACAATTGAGACTCCCGCTGCACCTTTAAAAGCAAACAAATTTTAGGGCAGGTATATTTTTAATAGTTACAAAAGAGGCTCCAAAGCCTAGCCTCAAAATATAAATTAGTTAAATGAGAAAGGTTTGAGGGGCTGGGGAACCAGAACATTCAACCAGCTGAGGCACTGCATTAGAAGCTAAAAACCACTTATCTGCTTAAAGGGTAACACAAATGCAATTTTGCACTGTCATCTCATTGGGCTGAAAGGGTATGTGCAACGATGCTGAACTAAAAATATGCCTGAGTGACATTTTTCAGTCAGGTCAGCAAGCCCAGAATATAAAGAACACAGTGGCAACAAAGGCAATTTGCCTCTGACAAGAGTTTAACGTGCGAGTGACTACTTTCTTTTGATGTACGCTGCAGCCACCTCATGTTCCAAGAACCAATAATTTAGTTGTCATATTAAGGAGCAGCACTTTCCCAACAGGAGTTCAAACATAAATTAAAAGCAGTCACCCCTTCCGGGACTTACTTGCACCCATCAGTCTTCATAGCAGTTATCTGGCATTTGCTGCACATTTAAATGGCAAGCACTGTACGAATGCGTAAAATGAAGGGCATCTGTTATGTTACAACAATCTAAGTGCCTAAAGGCAAAACAATTTCTTCCCCCAAACACGGCAATATGCATTTGCAATGAATATATTGTTATCATTTCAGAGCGGGGGCAGGAGAGGAATATAGCTTCCTTTTATCATGCACTGCATTTTATTGTGCATTATATCACTTTACATAGGTT